AAATCTTAAATTAGTTTTCAGCTCTTGTCTGGGCTGTGCATGTTGCTGGCAATGCAGCAGGTAGTGCTCAATAGTATCCACAGTGTTGCATGTAGCACACTGATCAGAGTCACTCATGTTAAATCTGTGCAAGTGACTTCTGACGCCGGCATGTCCAATCCTGAGTTGAGGAGCAGCACACTCAAGTCTGCAAGACTTCAGGCTGAACCAGGGTCACATTCTGGGTTCATTCATGATGTTGCTCAAAAAAGTTCCCTTTTGGGAGCAAGCAACAGAAGCCTTCCATGTTCTTGTCCAGTGCTCTTGTAGCTTGCCTCTTAGGACAGTGAGGGACTCTTCTAAGCTTAATGTACTAAAGGATGATTGGGCATTGAAATGGCCCATGTTGGCTGCCCTGTCTGCCACTTCATTACCTTTTACACCACAGTGCCCTCGCACCCATTGTATTACTGTGGAGGCTTGTCTTTGGTGAATTAACTCTTGAATTTGAACACATACTCCCTGTATGAGGGGCTGCTGTTTTGGATGGCTTGCAAGGCGGACTGAGAATCTGATAACAGCAGAATATTCTCTGAGCCGAGTCTAGGGTCCAAGCAGCAGAACTGCAAGGCCTTGAGTATTGCAGAATTCTGAACCAATGACTGTATGAGAAGGGTTCAGTTTCCATGTAGTGGCACTCTGAAGACTTGGTGTATACATGGCTGCAGCTGTAGAACCATTGCTATGCTTTGATCCATCAGTGTATATGTGCACATAGGATGGAAAATTTTTGTGGCAATATTCATTGAATGTACCCCTGTTAATGGCTACGGGAGCATCACGACTGCAGGTGCTTTGGGTGGAGAGCTGAATGTGAGGTTCCAAACTGAGATGCAGAGGTAGAGGTGAGATGTTAGGTATTGGAATTCTCTTAAAATTGGGCATGGCCAAGTTGGTTAGGAGGCCCCTGGCTCTTGTCGAAAAGTAGCTGTTGGCAAAATTATGATCAGAAACTCCAACTTCATGGCAAATCTCATTTCCTGATGTACCCCGAGGACAGCGCAAGATTTATAGGAACCATTTTAAAGACAGGTAGTCAAACCTGATCGCTAGGGGGGGTATAATAATAATAATAGCGGTTTCAGCATTATTAGGCCGTAGGCCTGTCGCCGATTCTTAACATTGCAGATTATTCACAGCATTTTGCGGTCTCGAACTTGCAACTCACTGCTACAATTCTGCTATGCTTAATTAACCACCCGGCCTCCTTGCCGATTCTGACCAGAAACTGGCGCACAGAGCTGGGATCGAACCCGCACCTCTCTGCGTCAATCTTGGTACTCTGAACTTTAACCACTGGGCCACTCTGCCTGGGCCACCCGCACCACCCTGGTATATAGGCTTCAATCTCCAGAGAAGTAATAGGAGATGTGTTTCAGGCACCAAGAACAATTCTTAATGCGCTGGACTGTATAACTTTCAGTTTTTGTGTGTTTTGCAGGNGATTGGATTCTTGTGACTGTTACGTTGGACGCGTTCAAGCGTTGATTGGATTCTTGTTACTGTGATGATGCAAGAACTGTTTTTTTTTTCAAAGAAACAGCTGTGGCATCTAGCAGAGACTCATCAGTGATGATGATCGACTGAAAGTGGAAGTGTGCTGGACGTTCCAGATTTTTGGGTCCTGCTTTCCCATTTGCTATGTTTACCAGTTAATATATTACCCCTCTGGATTTCCACACTGCTTGCAAGTCCAAGCTTGATCTGGTACTTCTGTCATTTTCTACTGCGTTGGGCTTAGTTTGATGGCTGGTGTTGTCTTCATCTGATTGATCTGAAGATAGTTGAAGTCCAGATTGCAGGAGAGGGCCAGCAGTATCTTGTAATGGTTTTTCCTGAATGATATTCTCATCATCGCCGCTAGGGCTTGGCATGTCAGACTCAGAGTCTGACATTATGCCCATGTTTTTTTTCCAATCTCAAGCTACAGCTTGCAATAGTAATGCAGAAAATAAATTATATGCCCGTATAAATGTGACAAGTTTTTACAGCGAATAATTCAACAAAAACAAAACAGAATACAATTTTTCCCCAATACTACGGCAATAGTAATATAAAGATGGAGTATAGGCTAGTATTGATATAACAATGTTACATAGCAATTTGTCAATGCATAACAGAGCCAAACTAGTTTTGATATTGACAACAAAAGCATTGGTTATATTCAAACTACAAAACTATAAAGGAATTATACCTCATTGGTTTTGATATTTCAGATATAAAACATAAACTTTACACATTTTCAGTAGGCCTATACGTTTGATTCTAAAAGATGACAAAATATTAATAATGATAAAAAATAATAATTATAATAGGCCTAAGTACAGATGACAAGTTACACAATGATGTAGCCAAGGTTTCAATAGAATAATTACGGTACTGCCTCTTCTCATAACGAGAAGAGGAGGGGGAGGGGAGAGAAAGCCAGCCGGGTTCTTGACGCTGGGAGGACCCTTCACTAAATATACTCGTGGTATATATAGTAGTCCAAGATCAAGTAATAAGTAATTTATAGGTGATTGTTTACCGCCGTTACCGGTTAACTTTACGGAATCAAGGGCGATAGACATTAGAGATGTTTACTCGATGAACGCAGCTGACTGTCTCCTGCAAATAGAACGATCACAGGTGCAGATTAGATACAGACTCCAATGTGTACGAAGCGTTAACCCTGTCCGTTGCCTAATAATCATGGTTGAACTAGTACTATGTTTTAACCATGGTTGAACCATGGTTTCAACCATGCCGAATAATAAGGAGCAATAGCTATAATTTGAGCATAAACCATATATCAATAATATTAAATTGTAATGTAGCTGTTAATGAGATACTGATGTGTATAGAAGCAATTGGCACTTGAATAATCTACCATGAAATTTCAATCATTCGCAGTAATGTTTATTATCAAATTCACTGGATGATTCCATAACGGTTGAACTAATATAAGGTTGACCCACGCGTAGCTGCGCTTGCGGATGTCCTTTAATATTCCAACCGTGATGTTACCTTGGTCGTTGTGACGTCACCGTGTGATTCAAACTGGTTTGTAACACTTGTTTTGCCTATATAAGATTAGTTACAGTATATATTTTGGTGGGCCATTTCAATGGGGTCATTTTTTCATGGTCGAACTAATCATGGTTGAACTATATAAGGTTGACCCACGAGAAGTTTCATCGCTCAGTTCAGCTTTCTTGTTACGTCACTGAGATCAAGAAACGGGAAGCGCAGCCGAGCACGACCAATTTTGTGCACCAATAAGCCCTGAATCGAACGCCTTGGATCTCTCCGGATATCCATCAATCAGCCGTGAACCACACGGCTTTGTCCCCCTCCAGCCTTGCATAGAACCTGCCGTGCCGTGCACCATCAGGCCGAGTAATCGAATATGACTTCCGGGCATCGTTAAATTAAGTAATTTTACGTTCACCGCATCTGAGGTTAGGTATCAGATAGCATAGTTCTGTTCCAAAATTTATCGTCCTTCGACCGAGGGCTGGTTCGACGCACGGCCAAGATACGGACGGCTTGAAGTGTTGAAGGCTACGTTCCAGAAGGCAGGAATCACGATGGTCCATTACATTCGGGGCAGTGGTGGTCTTCGGCAGGCAACCCGAGAAGCGTAAACAAACCCGTCATTCCCACGACGGATTGGTTGACCGGTTTGAACGCATTTCTGTGATTGGTTAATGCCCGTGACGTCACTGAGATCGGTGATGTCACAGGCGAACTACAAGCTCCATCCGCGACAATGAGCTTCTCATGGATCAACCTTATACTAGTTCAACCATGGAACTAATACAAGGTTTTCCCACGTGCAGCTGAGCCTTGCGGATGTCATGTGTTATTCCAACTGTGACGTCCCTTTGGCTCTTGTGACGTCACTTTGGCTCTTGTGACGTCATCTCGTGACGTCAAGCTTATTGTTAACACCGGTTTTGCTTAAAATATAAGACTAGTTGCATGCAGTAAATAAATTTTCTTGTGCCATTTTGATGAGGTAATTTTTTTAAATGCTTTCAGAGATGACATAAAAACAATGTATTGATCTACACTATTTACATTTTGTGCCCAGCACTGCCCACAGTGACGTCACTCTAGAGATGCGCAGAACGACGAAAAATATTCATCGCCGTGGGTCATTCGTATATTAGTTCAACCATGGATTCCATGTATTACCCTGTTACACGCGAACGAAGAGGAATAGGAAAAACAGACACGACCTTAACGCTAAACATCAAAGTTAGGTGCTAATGAATTAGTTTTGGATATATTTTATGATCACTGCAAATTTGAAAACCGGCCGCACAATCGACGGTCGCTTCTCCGTATAGCCGTATAACTCACGAATGAAGGTGAAATCGAAAAAACATTTCACGAGCTAAACATTAGGAAAGCACATTCAAAGTTTCGTTCAAATTTGTGTAGTAGTTTGGAAGATATCTGATAGTCAGTGATTTTTGGCCCGTTTTACCGTATGCTCGCGAGCGAAGGCGAAATTGAAAAAATTTTGTTGACAAGGGATGCTCGAATGGTAATTGGAATTGAAATTAGATGCATGACATTAAAATCTCCATTTGCTTTATATATATCTGTTCGATCATGCCAACGATCATAGGTCATGATAGGTGTAAACTGAATGAATATCTTACCAATTACCAAGCGGCCGCGAAATTAATAACTCCAAGGTATTGTAATGCCTATGTGAGTTATGTCAGTATAGTAATACACGTTTTTTACCATTATGAGCAAACACGCTATTTTTATCTCATAAATGATAGCTTGAGCGCTTGTTTGTGCTACGAAATAATTTGTAAGGCTTACGCCTACAGTCGTCTCAGTGTTTGAGTTGTTAATTGTAATAGTCAATGCAGGGGTGCCACTTGCGCAGATTATCAGAAAAAAAATGTTGCGCAGCAGCCATCTTTGATCTGTGCTCACACTGCTCAGTGTGGACTAGAACGCTTCTGAGTGAGGGTGTATCGACCTCGTTCCAAGGAACCAAAATCCATCATCGCAGCAAATTAGGCGTAAAATAGCTAATGACTTTAATTTAGGGAAGATTAGAGTGCAAAATATCGTAACGCGATATATTTTTCTATCCTCAGGGAAATAATTTTGAGGGTAAAAGTCATTTTGCTGATCCTAATGTAGTGCAATCCGATTTGGTTCCGTTTACTTCTTCGAGTTTCTTTGTTAAATAAAGTCGCTGAAGGATTAGAGTTGGTGCATGTTTAGGCGTGATCCCGATGGTCTGTGAGTTTGGGCATTTATGTTTAATGATGTATCATTGAAAACGCGTCGTGTCCTTACAAGTTAGCATTACTCTTAAGATATATGTCAACATGAGCTCCAAGAACGTGCCAGCTGATCAGGTAATTTTTTTTGTATCAGTAATAGCTAATAAATTCTATTGTGTTATATTGATGAATAATTTTGTATTATATTTTTTATAAAGATAAAACTTTGGAAAAGTTCTTCAGAGCTTGGGCCTTTTTTGATTTTTATTTACATCATCTGCTAAATAAAATATTAACAAATGATACCTATCAAAAAGAAATCCAGTTAGCCTAATGAGTTACCTATTAAGTACCATATTACAATTTATATTGCTACAACTACAAGTCCAGAAATTTTCATTAACTAAAAGTAATAGTTAACAACTTAACACCTTATAAAATGTAAAGAAATAATTATCATATATATAAATGGATTAGGCTACATGAGAACTTGAATTATACAATTTTCANTTAACACCTTATAAAATGTAAAGAAATAATTATCATATATATAAATGGATTAGGCTACATGAGAACTTGAATTATACAATTTTCAACTTTTAACAGAAATAAAAATTTGTCATTTGGGTCATGTCTCATGAGTCAGGAGGTTGAATGATAGACTTTCTTGTTGCATAATGGTTGATGAGAATTTTTTTTAATCAGTTCCCTTCTAATTTTGTGATCTACGGACTATGGTACTTCAGATTCAGAATTGTATTAAATATTTTTTATGTTAATACTGATACATCCATGAAATTTACTAGCCAACTTATAGGCCATTAGAAATTTGGGCAGAAGATCCCCTCCCACTCCCCCGCATAGTGGCAAAGCAGAGAGTTTTTTAGACTCACTCAAGTTCATTCTTGAGTCCTAAAAGTAGACACGCAAAGTATCATGGATACCAGCATTATCATGCATAAGAAATTGGTTTAAATTTTAAGTAAATGAGGAAATTAAAAATGAACTAATTCTAAAAAATCTCTGGTTTGTCACTATGCGTCCCCCGGGGCCCGAATAAGATGAAAATGCCTGTGGTTTCAGTCAATTTTAACTGTTTTTGTGGCCCTTGCCTAAATTTTTCATTTAAAAAATGAGAAAACTGGCACATTTTTGTGTAATTTGGGAAAATTGCCTGCAAAAAATAGTTAATACTGGACTGAGTAGACTCCTGCATTTGGTATTTTTTTATCCAAAAAGAGACAAGACAACAGGCTCTCTCCTGGTGGGTCACAATAAAAACCGGGACAATTTTCAGCCCTTCGTAGGAATTCTGGGGCAATACCAAGATGACACAAGACATCCCGGTTAAAATGGGTAGCTTAAAATTTCCCGGAATTTATAGCCATTTTAACAAGAAGTAATGAGAAGAGAAGTAATGAAAAATAATGAGACAAATCAANAGCTAATGTGTTTATATATATGACAGAAAATGTGGTTAAAACATTATTATCTGTATAATTAGTGATATATTTTTATTTACATTGTAAACTCACTTCAAGGACTTGAGAGAAATTAATTCCTCATATATCAATAAAGCTAATGCTCTCTTACTCACAACTTGAGTTATAATTTTTATGGAAATGATGTTGATTGCTGTGCACAAACTGCAGTGTTCATTGGCTCTTTGAACTTGATTATATATGTGCTAGAAACAAATGCAGAAATTGGATTTTGCTGAGTGTGGGGTGGAAAAAAGATATTACAGCTGCAAGAAAAATCTTCCAGGCCTTGAGTTCATTTGTCCAACAGTGAATCCATATACGGTATTGAGCTATGAATTAAAATTTCCATGTGGCAAATATTTCAGCCTTTACCATCATGTTGAATAGTATTGTGGCAATATTTTCTAGTTTCAGCTTTTACACTGAAATCTTGAGGCACCTAATTTTTTGTTTAGGAAATATTTTGGCTCAATTGTGTAGTTTGATTGACAGTTAAGATGCAGTATAATTTAACTAATGGGGATCTCACTGCTCTGGAGATTAAATGGTAGTCCTGCCTGTGATTTGGGGTATATATTGATATTTCATGGTCCAAGCCCTGGTGTGTCACTATCAATTATGCCTTATTAATAAAACCCAATTGTTCTAGTTGGCTTAGCCTCATGCATTTTTATTAATTTTGTAATGAAGCTGTTCTATCTATGCTGGTGTTCTAAAAATTTGCAAGTATGGTATGCCTTTCAGTAAATTCCAGCATTGTTACCTAGTGTGCATCAGCAGACTTACCCATTAATGAATAATTTTCTATGCACATGGCCGTGTTCATCTTTTATGTTTGAACATTTATATATATATATATGTATATATATACTCACATGTTTAACTTACAGGCATAAGTTGAGCCTGGCCTCACAAAGTTGAGGGGCCAAAACTTATTGTCACTAATGATGCCCTGGGCATGTGTTCTGTGGTTATTCCCTAATTGAGGACTGCTTAGAGTGTATAATGGGAGCATTTCTGCACTAAATCTGCCACGTAATTATGATTTATCTAGAGTACCATATTTCATCCTGCTGGCTCCTCCTGTGTCATTGATGCTTGATCTTATCAAACTTTCCTTTTCCATTTTTTTTTCATAAGTTTGCTATTCAGCCCTCGGAGAGGACAAGGCTAATCAGTTTCTGAGAAGATTGGACTACAACAGCTAGTGTGTAAATACAATTTGTAACTGGAACAGAACTCTGGAGGAGCCTTATAAGGCTTATTGTGTCCTGCCTTAAATGACTGTTGAGTCTCTTATTTAATTAAGTTGCTGCCTTCCAATAGAAATTAGGAATCCTGAGAAGTTCTGAAGGAAATATGTTCTAGTAACATTTCATTTCCTTTGAAATTTGTTTTTCCTCCAACATATCTGCATATATTATTGAACAATATTATTGTTTACTTTGAAGTCTGGCAAAATCAGTACAGTGATAAGTTCAGGCTTCTTGCAATATTTTTCTGGGTAGTCTGTACGGTGATATTTTGCGGTCACTTGAAAAACTTATTCGGTTCACTTATTAAATTAATTTATAATATTAAAATAGGTTAAATGGGTGACAAAAAATAAGCAAAGGCTGTGGTCCCAGCCTTTCTTATAAGAATCATTCAGTTCAGAGCATTTTCCATGAAAATTTAAATCCCCAAAAATTTATGTATACGGGTGATCCATCTCTATGTAAACTTCAGTAATAACCCACATTATTGTGAAAGCAATGCGCTTTGATTTTAAATGAAATCGAGACTGCCATAGGATGCTGTTGTAATCATTTATAATCATTGATTCCATTCTCATTCATTAATCATTGATTCCATTCTCATTAATAAAATTGTAAACTGTAAACCGTTGTAGACTAATATGTTGTTTTGAGCACTACTGTCGTATTGAAGTACTTGCTTGCTAAATCATTATCATGTGTGAAATGTAGATATTCAATTAAATAGAGCATTGGCAGACCTAATCCATTCGTTGTGATGACTCCCATAATCATGAACGCTACTCAAGATCTACCTAAATTCATATAACCGGACGAGACGACTGACCGACTGACGTCTGTTTGTTGGATCTTAGTGGAGTATTGGTAGTATTTGCTGGCTGAGCTCTGCAACATGTAGCCATACAAAACAAAACAAAGCGAGAGCCGCGGTGTCTCTTGCCAGCGCTGCTAGTGTGAACTGCCTGGGCTGCCTTACAATGCTTTATCTTATTGTGTTGTGCTATACACGTGCCTCTAATATTGTGTTGTGTTGTACACGTGCCTCTAATATTGTGTTGTGCTATACACGCGCCTCTAATGTTGTGTTGTGCTGTACACGTGCCTCTAATATTGTGTTGTGTTGAACACGCGCCTCTAATATTGTGCTGTGTTGAACACGTGTCTCTAATATTGTGTTGTGTTGTACACGTGCCTCTAATATTGTGTTGTGCTATACACGCGCCTCTAATATTGTGTTGTGCTGTACATGCGCCTGTAATATTGTGTTGTGCTGTACACGTGCCTCTAATATTGTGTTGTGCTATACACGCGCCTCTAATATTGTGTTGTGCTGTACACGCGCCTCTAANTCATTATTGTGTTGTGCACAACACGCGTCCCTCATTATTGTGTTGTGCACAACACGCGTCCCTCATTATTGTGTTGTGCACAATACACATCCCTTATTATTGTGTTGTGCACAACATGCGTCCCTCATTATTGTGTTGTGCACAACACGCGTCCCTCATTATTGTGTTGTGCACAATACACATCCCTTATTATTGTGTTGTGCACAAGACGCGTCCCTCATTATTGTGTTGTGCACAACACACGTCCCTCATTATTGTGTTGTGCACAACCCTCTCCCGTCATTATGCAGCGCTCAGCTGACGCAGCGTTGTTAGCATGCGCAGTTCACCACGCTCTACTGGCGCGCAGCGACTGCGCCTGACCTCGCTCAGAAGCGCTCACAACCTTGCGTACGCCTGCTTTTTTATGCTCTTTCATAGAGCTCTGCTGTATTTGTTCCGTGCAAACATCTCGGCTGAATGCTTGTGGCTGCAAGTGTTTTGCATTAATTATTCTTATGTGACTGATTAAATCGCAAATGCAGAACTTGGTACGATAAACTGATTTATGTGTCGAGGTTATTCTGTTATTCTAAACATAGTTTGTAATTGTATTCTAAACATTGTTTGTATATTGCTAAAGTACATGTTAGCACGCGGTAGTAAATCTCCTCTCACTATTTATTCGAAGTTGCGCTGTGAATGAACACTTTCGACATGGGAGCATCAAGGATATGCTTGATCTGATCCACCTCTTCGGTGCTGCTTGTATCGCGTGTTTGTATCCATGCTACGAGCTAGTGCCGGTCACAGATGTTCTCGTCCGCTATGCCTGTTAACGCCTGGGGACGTTTGATGCGTACAGTAAAACACCATCACTTGCTTTTTTATATTGTGCGCTTTGAGTGCCAAGGTACAATTAGATCATTTAAGACCTGCGTTGATGTTTTATTTCTTTCCGAATGCGTGTGCATTTTCCTTGCTTGAGCTCTGGCAAGTCTCGAATTATCTCTTGAAATGCGCACATCTATTGAAGTTGTTTGTGGTTTCGGGTCTTTGTATGCATA